AATATTGGCGAAAAAACATTCCATCAGTGTGACAGTTCTACCGAACCTACACTTAATTTGTCTTTAGATTCCCACAGTGACATGCAATATATTTTAAAAAATATTTTAGAAGATGGTAGCGCTAAAGAATTTAAATTATTACTCGAGTCTCAGTTAAAAAACAATAAAAAAGATCTCGATGCTCGTCAGAGACGATGGGACCCCAAAGTTATAAGTATTTGTTTGGGAATCCTTCTACGATCACCTCAGGCATATCAAACTTTGAAGCAATCACAGCTCTTAACATTACCATCAAGGAGAACGCTTCAGTACTACAAGAATGTCGTTAAGCAAAAACCTGGCTTTGTTTCGGAAAACCTCCAATGGATGAAACAGCAAGCAATTTTAAGTAACATTCCAGAGTTTGGCTTCCATGGTGGTCTTTTAATCGACGAAATGACGATTCAGGACGATTTGATAATAACTAAAGATGGAGACAGTTGGAATGTTGTCGGGTTATTAGATATGGGTGAAACAAACAATAAATTAAAAATCATAACTGCCGGGGAGAAAAAGGTGGAAATGGCAACTCATGCTTTACAGTATGTTTTTCACGGATTTACAGGATACAGGCAAGTATTATTTAACACAAGGTTTTATTTAATGCTAATCGGTGAAAAACTAAGTTTTTTCAGTGAAATAAAATCTGTATCACACACAGTGTATCACCAACACTGTGACTAATATACCTTCCCGGACTTGTTTTGGCGTAGGTTTTAATTTTCTTGATTCCGTAAATTTACATAATACATGTATGTAATTGTTGCGTTTTGTTTTAAATATATTAACTTGAATAACTTTTGTTTGCGCAGCGTTCGCGCAGCATTGAACATCAGACTTCATCTTCTTAACTTTCTCCACTCTGAATTAAATGACAGGAAAATTTGTAGGTTTTTCAAGAAATGCTAAATATCGATACTCTGAGAATGAGTGAACCGACACGAAATTTATATTCATTTTATCACTTACGTAAAATAAGAACAGTTTACATTAGAACAGAAACACTTTTTCATTGTCGCACCTATTTAGTGCACCGTTAACATTAAGCGCTTCTTTACGGGTTGTTTCTATGCTATAGCGCAAATGACGTTTCTTATAAAGATGCGTTTAAATAAAGATTTATTTTATACATTATTATGTTCTTATCCATGATATTATAAGTATTTTTCATCAAAAAATAGTTCGGCATTGTGAGCGGGGTCACTCATCTGATATCAAAAATATTTAACAGACTAGTGTTACCGGGCTGTTACCATGGCAGTTACATGAAAATACCAAGTATCGCGCATACAATCATGTATCTTTAAAAAAAATACCTAAAATTATTTAAAAATTAATACGAAACCCTATATATTTACAGATGGCCAGTAGTGTATTTTGGATCCAGCACAGCTGTTGCCCATGAACTATACACAACTTTTTGGGAATGCGTTGATCGACTTGATGAAATCGGTTTCACGGTTGACTATGTTATGCTTGACGGGGCCTCTACAAACCGGTCCTTTATGAAGATGCTAATGGACAATCCTAGGGATAAGAAAATATATGTTTTCTGATGTTTTCTTCGCAAAGCATTCTATCTGTGCAATCCAAGACATTATGCATGTCTTTAAAAAAATTCGTAATAATTTAGAGTCAAGTTGTCTTGATAATCAGTCAAAAGCTGGTCGGTATCTTGTTTTAAATGGCGTGCCAGTCCTTTGGGAGCACTGGCAGGAATGTCTCAACTTTAACTTTCAAAATGGCTTTGCTATAAATAGAAAACTTACTGAGGAGCATATTTCATTGACGCCAGCCTCAAAAATGACGAATCATTTAGCTTTACAGGTTCTTGATAAGGATATGCTTTACCTTATGAAAAGTTATCAACAAACTTTACAAGACCCAGACAGACTGTCCTCAACCGTGGCCCTATTGGAAAAAAACTTCGGAGTTAACTATTATTTTTTGCGATCATAACAGGCCTATTTCAACATTGTCAGATGAAAGGTTACGATCCTTAGAAACAATATTGAACGTTTTTATTACATGGGAGGAACAAGTATTACATTCAAAGTATTGCATCCCTAAGAAGAACCTTATGACAGAAGAAACTAGAGATGATTTGAATTCCTCTGTGTCCGGGTTTCTGTCATTGTGCAAACTTCACGTCAGAGATGGAAACTCTATTAATCCAGGTTATTTTAATTCTGACCTCATAGAAAACTTTTTTTGCCAGCAAAGGGGTATCCGCAACGGTTTGAACACTAACCCTACTTTAGCTCAATACGGACCGTCAACGACTGCAATAATTTTGGGTCAACATTGCATAAGCAATAAAGCAAACTCTGGGACATCTACAGCTTTATACAAAGCGCTCAAACCATGCCCGCTTAATCCTCAGAGGAATAAATCACAAAAAAATAAAAAAAGAAGTATACGTGTTTAGAATGTAAAAATAATATATGGAAGAGTGGGCTCTAGGAAGCATATTAATCACAACAAAATTATATGAAAATTGCTAGTCTGTACAAGAGAGATAATGAAAATGTGCAATATCCATCAAGTCCCTAGCTAAATAGTGACCCATCGGAAGCATAAATCACAACAAAAATATATGAAAATTGCATACTCGGTTTGATTGAGTCTGTACAGGAGAGATAATCACAATAAACGTATATGAAAATTGCAGACTCTGTTTGATTGCAACGCAATTTAAGAACATTCTTCTAAAGAAACGAAAACCGGGCAACTTTGTGCGGCTGCCCCACGGCACTTGACACCTGCTGTTGTGATATATAGATATCTGGTAAAAGTGGTCCGTTGGAAGCATTAAAAACATTACATAAAAAAGTTTAAAAGTGATAAACAAGATTTGACAAAAAGCACATGTTTATGATAAATGGTATGTTGTTTAACGTTAACTTACTTCAGAGTAGAAGTCTTTCTTGTGCCCGTCATGATGAAGCTGTGACCATTCAAAGAAAAATAAATTTCATCAGTCAGTTATTTTTGATGTGGTTTTTTTTTTTATTATTATTATTTATTTTAATACATGAAGTGCCCCGCAAACATACAGTATAATAATATTATGAATTTAGTTACGTGCAACCACATGTTTTTGAATTTGGTGTTCTTCAAACTTATTTACCTCTGAGCAAAAATGATGACGTCACAGAATGGCCTCCTCGATGGAAAGTGATTTCCTGAAAATCTATAAAAAATGACGGTTATCTACGGCTAAGTAGTCTGGACATACAGATCGTTGGTTGCGAAAGGTAAATTTATGTGTTTTCTATAGATAATCGGAATGACATTAAGATTTTTCTTTGTTAAAGTGCTAAATTCAGGTTGGGTTGGCATATCCGGGTTTGTTGTTCGTTGCATTCCTGGTGTTTTTTATATAGAGATAAGGGCTATATCACTAATACACGCATATTTTGTGATCTATTGATTAAATTTCAAGTTCCTGTGAAATGACATAATTAATACGTCATAATTAATATATATTCTTATGTGTGTATAATTAATACTTATTCCCTTGTCTAGTATATACTAACTATAAACTTATTTAGACAAACCATATAGTTCGCCAAAGGAGAAGAATTCTATAAGACTTGTCTTTCATTCTCATCCTTTTCCATTGTGTAAAAATGTTTTGTTTGTTATATATTTGTATGTACATTATATATACTTTCGGGAATAAATATGTTTAAACTAATTAATACGTCAACGTCACGACACCCACGTGCAATTAAAAGACGTTTGTAGATTGTAAAGTAAATTCCCAATACAGCCCAAACGGAATGACGTGAAACAAGTAGGAAAAATCATGCTTTCATTATGATACTAGATTTTAGTATTAGTCCTTAATCAATGTCAAGCGGTACTAAAATTTTGATTTCAGAACGAGCAGGGCAAAAGTAAATTGGATCATTTTCCCAAATTTCAAATCATTGAGAAATTATTTGTATGTCAGATGCTGTTATCTTGAACTATAAATGAGCCGCGTCACGACAAAACCAACATAATGGGTTTGCGACCAGCATGGATCCGCGCAGTCTGATCAGGATCCATGCTGTTCGCTTACAAACTCTATAACAAGTAGAGAAACTGATAGCGGACAGCATGGATCCTGATCAGACTACGCGGATGCGCAGGCTGGTCTGGACCCATGCTGGTCGCAAACCCATTATGTTGGTTTTGTCATGACGCGGCTCAAATATTATCGTAATATACAAACAATCTATTTGCATTATAGCATGGAACATGTATAACTTATTCCAAAAAGCGCATGCGCACTGAGAGTAATAAATGGCTTATGATCAGGCTTTAGCATTGTAACATGGCCGGCGATTGGCTGAAAAAAGTGCAGGGAAAACCGTAAGATTCAATTGGACGTGAGGTGATTGGATGTATATGAGATATTTTTAAGCATAAAAACTAATTAAGAAACTAACATTATATATTATTTTTTTTCTTAAGAAACTGAAATATTTCATAAGTCTCTATGATAATTTGTGACTTGGATGTTTGCATTTATAAACTGTGTTGATCACATAAATTTCAATGTAAAGGGGGGTAATCCTCTTTGAAGTCATTTTGTCAAAAAAAAACTAAATAAAAAGATAATTTTTATCTGTCAGGCATTTCATTTCATAGAAAAAAAATCACCTCTTTTTTAATGAAGTATTAGGGACCATTTCTAATGTAAGCCTATGGGAAAATCAATGTGAGAGTTTGACCTTATGCGTAGGGATTTTGCAAAATCAAAATTGCGTCGTACAGGTTATCTTTCATGTGTAGAAATATAAAAAACCCTTACTTTTTTCTTAATATTTCTTTGCTGTCGTTTATCATTTTATAATAAGTGCTAAATAAACCTTACTTGAAATGGGACTGCTAAACATGGGGTAATAAACCTTTAAGTACTTTTGAAGATAATCAATGATCTTAAACGGTAAGAAGGGAATTAAATTTACCTCTTCAGATTGTAGGGTTAGAAATGTTGATGTTTGTGTGGCTGAACCGTGCTCTGCTTCTGTTTTACTGTCTCCTGCGTGTGTTGGTGTTTCTTTATCCTCTTCCGATTTTGTGACACTGGGCGTAGCATCGTGAAGAAGGGGGCTGTCCCTATGAGTTGCATCATAAAGAAGAGGGCTGTCTCTGTGCGCTGTATTATGAAGGAGGTGGCCATCCCGATGTGTTATCGGGCTGTTAACTTTTCTTCTCGATGTAAGCGGACTAGAGCGCCTTAGCATTGGGCTATGTCTTTGAAGAAGAGCAGTGTATTTATTGACTAACTCCGCCTTTTCAGTCCTTGACACACCTTGTGAAAGATATTTTGGCTTAAAAGTTGTATTAGGAGGAGCGTCATGTGTGAGTCTCGGTGTGACTCTTTCAAGCGTTTCTAAATACGCATCACTATGCGCATGCGCACTTAGAATTGGCACTAACGCGGAAGGATTATTTTGCAAAAACAAGATGGCGTCATATAGATGATCCTCCTCTTTGGAATATTCAGGATTTATCGTCTGCTGATGTTTGTAGTTAGGAGGAACAGAAAGAATATGGTTCGCCCTGTGATTTACATGTTCATCTAATTTTGGTTGTTTATGAATACCTTTCCGTATTCTTTCCAATTCTTTTTCAATGAGTCTTTTTTCTTTATTCAGCTCAGCGAGATGGTAATTTGCTACAAACTGCGGTCCGTATTTTTCACCCCGTACTCGCCGCTCCTCACGGCGGTTTCGCTCGCGTGCCAGCTCCTGTGATTTTAGCATCTGGCTGTACCAACTCATTTTAATGTCCTTATCCGGGAAATGCTTATCCGAAAAATACCCCCGTTATGAGCCGTCAGACGCTATCATCTGTAAGTGCATATTTTTAAGCCATCTCATTACACGTATATACTTTGTATTGTAATGTCCGTTTAATAATCTGAAATATAGAAACATGAACAATGCTTAATTGTTGAAGTTACTCATACGCGAACTTTTCAAAGCAATATTAAATGTTTAGTTGTTTAAATGCATCGTGGCAGAAGATTGTTTATATCCGTCTTCACGTTGTAATTAAAACAAAAGAAATTTTTGCTATCCGGATAAACGTGTATTTTAGTTTTTTTTTCATCAACTGATACCACATAATGCTTCCACTTTCACAAACTGGGCTTTTTTCAACTCATATACGTATTTTATATATTCGAAAGCCAATTGAACCTATAATGTCAAAACTTAGACTGATTAATGGCAATTTAACATTCACGGTCTGTATTTCATTAAATTATTAATTCGGTTATATTCGACAAACTTCGTTACTACCCGTATGGTATGTATTATTACAGAAAAAAAATGGTTTGCTGTTCCTTTTCATACTGATGCTAATTTGATCTTATTAATTAACGGAGATTGCCGAAATATGCCGAAAATTTGCGAACTATTAATCTGAATAGAACCTTGTTACAAAATGAAATACTCGCTTAGTCTTATCTTTGAAAAGTATTTTGGCAA